ATTTATTTTCTAAATACATTTGCTATGCTGTAGCAATATTTTGTAACTATTCCAAATTAAAACTATTTTTTACATATTCAATATATTTATATTTGTTAGGAACCATTTGAGATCAAATAGTTCATAACAAATATCAATATTGATATGTAAAAAAAAGTTTTAATTTGGAATAGTTACAAAATATTCAATAGAGATAATTGGCTTTATTATGCAATGTAAAATGCATGTGTATAAATACTTGAGGTACTTCAATATAAAACACTATGTAAACTAGTTGGCAGGCTTAATAATTTTACTCTCTTCCAAGTCCAAGGGATGACTGTATGCAAGTTCAGGTGACAGAATGACTCAAAGATACAAGAAATAAATTGTTTGTTGTTTTGCAAAATGTGAAAGAAAATACATTATAAATTTTACTTTGGATAGATGACAGGGATCTGCATGTGTCAAATTGTTTCTTTGCCATGCTGTAAATATACTGATAATGATATATTGAATACAGGGATTGGGATGGAGACCTCTGACAATTCCTCAGGATTATTAGCCATTTTCTGAATTTAGAATGGGCCACTGCCCTTGAATCAATAGTAAACTTCAAAATTTTAATGGGGCATTTTTTATTCTAATGAGCAAATTAGCCCCCTGTCTTCCCAATGCCTGGGAATAAATAGCAGTTCTTGTAACCTTTATAAAATTTTTATAAATATATGAACTTTCCCATTTATGGTGACGTTTTTATTCACAAAAGAAGTCATAGTGTCACAAATCAATCAACAGCTCAACAAAATAACCTTGATGGCATGGTTACAATTATTTCGGTTACTACTGTCAGATATTCAAAACAAAATGTGAAAACCCTCAGCCATATGAATATCCATCATGAAACAATTATTTATCAAATTATGTAAACATTATTTTAGAGGTGATATATAAAAAACTGGTTGTTGGACAATATTTATTACACTTTGTACTTAGATGTCTTGGAGTGAGTGAACTTTCATGTACTCATGATCTACTGTACATGAGTGTTACTTAGTACTTGGTTATGTAGGTGAGGTTCTGCTATGCTGTAAGCAGCACACAGCACCTTCAAAGTCACAATTGGCAAAAATGCAAGACCAAATTCACTCCAAAATATGGAGTAATCACTTCAAAAGACATTTCCCTGTATTGTAAAAATATACTGATCAATACATGGGAAAACTAAATGTGCATATATACTATGTCAAGACTGTAGATTCTGCAGACACTGGCTGATAGCAAGCAGCATGAGTATGATTACTTGTCATGTAATATAGTGTTTTTCACCCATTTTTAGTAACCTTATATATTCCAAATATTCCCGCCAATGAGGCCAAGGTTCCATAATTTCCACTATACAGTTAGGACCAATATGTTTTAAAATAATGGAAAAGAATAATGTGTACTGGTAATTGTGCTATGAACCAGTGTTGTAATCTAACAGCAAATAAAACAAAGAATTTCATATTTCCAGTGTTCACGAATGGTGTTTCAAAGTCACAGGACATTGGGTCCTGTAAGTTTCAGATGTCTGTCTGACCCATTGAAAATGCACAGGACCCATGTAATAAAATTATACACACATTTCAGATTTAATATTTCTTATAATTGACATTGAAATTATTAACAAACATAAGATTTATAAACAGCAAACAAGTGTCACATGTCACATAAAACAACTTCAGTTAAAGTCATTGTGAAATATACAGTCAGACACTGGGGCCGGCAGGTTGTAGACTTTTGTCTGACCGCTGGCGAATCTGCCGGATTTGTCAGAGGGTCAGACGCTATTCGTGAACACTGATTTCAACAAAATTCCATGTCATGTAGAATCACATGCCTATGCCATTTGATTAAGTTTAACTCTTTCATTGGTAAGCATGCTTTTTACATGGAAACTGGAGTAGTAGGGTAACCTAGTGGTTAAACTGTTGACACTTGTCACACGGTCACTGAAGGCCTGGTTTGATTCCCCACATGTGTGGAAAGTGTGAAGCCCATTGCTGCTTTCCCCAGCATGATGTTGCTGGAATATTGCTAAAAGGGTGTTAAACCCAACTCTCTCAATTGGAAACCTTTTGCTATATACACTGAAAATCTAATCTCCTACATCCATCGTTGTATATTTACAGTCAAATCAATATCATGGCTAAAAGCAGAAATCTTCCAAACCATTCAGTTTGTGCATGCTTTATCCACACTTAAAAACAATTAACAAGTTTTAGAACTATTCTGCAATTTTATTTCAAAGACATAATTACTCATAACATATCAAACATTCTTTGCATTTCCCAGATGCTAAACCTGAAATAATACTGTAACATTATCATCTGAATACAAATGTTCTTTCATGGTCACTCATCTAAATTCTCACTGAATTATCTGAGAGTCCCAAGATGTCACAAGACTCTTCTTGGACAACACCTTGCTGGTTACAAGCATTTCCTGTTCCAGCAAGTGTCCAAAGGATGATGTGTAGGCTTTTAATATGTTTTATAACTGTATATACAACACTTCAATGACTTGCTGTTTCTTCATTTGCAATGTATGTTGCTTGACCACCAGATGTTAAAAAAGAAATCTGAAGATCTGTTTCCAGTTTGTGTTGCTCTTGATGTCAATGGCAATTGTGGTGATAAAGAAATCTATTCCTCCTTCTTTCTCCTCTCTTAAAGATGTGCATCAGTTCCAACTGAAAAAAATACATAACACACGTGAGACCAAGTATGATATACTTAATAAAATGTAAACAGTTCCTTACAATGTTGACATCAAGATATTATTGATAAATTAAGCATGTGGATGTTATGTTTAACTGAACATGCCGCACCATAACCAAATGCTAAATGGGGTTGTAATAACCAGATAGCAATGTCCGTTGGGCCAATGTTGGACCAACATTGGCCATCATTAGGCTCTACGTTAATGTTGGCCCAACGAACATTGCTATCAGGGGAATATATTAACTCAAGCTCATATTACAGAATACATTTGTGAGAGACACCTATTCAGAGCTATTGTTATCGATCAAAGTGTGGATATAATCATCATTGTTTACGCGCTATTAAATTATTATTTAATTCATTTGCATTTATTTTTAAGAATTACACCTGGATTTTCATTGCACATTAAGTTATCTTCTGGATAATTCCAACTGCAAGATACTTTATTTATTAACACAGTTTTTGGGTACACACATGCATACCGGGTACTAGCCTGCCATATTTTACTAGGTCCCTCTCTGGGGACAATTAGTTCAGCAAGCTAAACGTCGTGTTCCTACCAAGGCATACACCGACGTTTAGCGTCCGAAGCCAATGTTATGAGGAGCACTTTCCCGGCGATTTTCAACGGGAACGTTTCTGACTCAAGAGACATTGAAAAACGAAGCATCGCATGTATATTGATACACGGATCGAAAGATAAATCGCTTAGGTACAAAATCCGATTGCTGTCTTACCTTGAATTTTTTTTTTTAATATTCGACAACATTATATTCATCACTACTATACCCTCTACTTTCCACTTTCAGGTTCAGCCATTTTGCCTCGTGACGTCACGAGGTCGTGCGTACCACTTGGGTTTGTTAAAAAAAGGCGATCGGCAGGGAAACGAAACAAAGCATTTTAGGATACTTTTAAGACAAATGCACGAACGGACTTGGTACTGGCGGCGAGTCGATTTTGTGCTTGCTTCAAATGACAGTAGTTGAAATATTAATGTAATTTTAAGATAAATAATGAAATAATACAAAAATACCAATGTTTGCTATTTATAATTTCCTTTTTGTCTGTGTACAGATATTGTTTTATAATGTTAAAACTAATTTCTACTGTTGTCTCACCAACGTTTTCCTTCCCTTTTTTCACATTGACTAAGTTTGTTTTAACTGTTATGATGAAGTGCTGTTGGTAAGTATACTTTATGTTCTTACCTGTATCTTTTTTCAGAATATCCAAGCGTCTGCTACATTCCAAGTATGCACACACAGTGTTCAAATGTACACAGCATATAAAAGTTCCGTACAGAATTATAACAGCAACTGTTTACAAACTCTTCAACATCACAGCCTATAAAAGTTATTTAGTCATATATACATACATACATTGTACACAGTAGATTCAACTGTCGAGTGGAATGCCTTTGGTGGTGTCAAGCCTGCGGGATAGCTCCTTCATCTTGGAGATGAAACTGCCAGCATTTCTAGGTGTCTCATCGTGAGTGAAGGCGGGGAAGGATAGATATGATCGCCCGGGTGTTACTCGAAACGTGTTCCTTCACAAGCATTTTCACGATGAGTGCAACGTTCTTGTCCCTGTTGACGGCACGTCTGCGATGACGGTAGACCTCGCTTTCCATGATTCTGTGGTCCACAACGTCGTCCATGGCCTCTCCAAGGGGACCAACAAGTCGGCTACACCTAACAAGTGTTTTGGAGGTGTAAAGGCCCCTTGCTTCTTTGAGCAGATCCTTGAACGATCTACTAAATAGTTCCTTCATCAGATCTGCTGGAAGATTTCTTCCCATTCCACCGCTGTAATTGATAGTGCGATTCCACCGAAGATCATGCCTCAACTTTTCAGGTAGCCACCCTTTAAGACAAGTTATGAGACGGTGTGCAAGTATCACATACTTCACGTGGCGTTTCCTGAAAAACTGCACAAGATCAATGATCCAGTGTGAGATCATTGCATCGCTGTCTCCTTCTCGGACGGCGTCCCGGCGGCACAGCATATTTAACCCACTCCACACGGCGATGTTGTATTTATACTTGGAATCTGGCCGACTCGAAGTTGCAGGTTCTTCAGTCTTCTGCTTCTTTCGTTTCCTCCTGCCTCTCTTCGGTTTCAAATCTCTGCATGCTTGACAGCAGAACCAGGCTCATTTTGGTATCGTTTCTGCAGTCAAGCCGACACACTTCCAGTGGTACCATTCCTTTTGTGTACATTTGATTTCCGTGGAACAGTCGATCATTGGTTCGTCCTCTCCCAGATTCTTGGAGCAATAACAAAGAGCATAAGGACCTTCACTGTTATCTCGACACTCATCGCTGCAGTACTAGGTGTTTGGCAGATTTTCTGGATCCACACCAGCACAAGAGTAGTGAAACCATTGCCCCTTTAGACACTGTCCCCTCTTCTCGCACCCAATAAAGTTTTCATTGCAGCAGTACAGTGACAAGTCATCAATTCCCGTTGCTTCTACCTTCAGTGCATCGGTGTTAAGTTGATGCCACACGTGTGACGTTATTTTCTGGCATATTGCATCCATATATTCTTTCCTCTTTTCTTTGGACTCCGTCTCTATGTCGACTGGCGGGTTTTCTGGACGATCTGAGGTGTTCTCAATCCCTGAAAGTTCCTTGGCCGGCAACGTGACGAATGCCTCAGTGTTTTGACACATCAGCTCCCAGAAATGCGAGAAGTTGTCACTAATGTCTGCTTTCACATTTCGGAAATTGCATAAGTTTTTCAAGTAGAAAAGCGTTCCCTTTTCACCTCCACTTGCTCTTTTGAAGAATTCATCAAAGTGCTCTTGTGAAAGAAGCATCTCCTTGTGAAACTCTTGGGCTGATGGCTCTAGACCCCCAAGTCGTGCCCATTCATCAAGACCATTGAGTCGGCTTTGATGGCACTACAGCCCCGTTCACAACTGAGACCATCGCCAAAAGCCAGAGTCTGAAGAGGTTTATTGTTGACGTTGGGTACATATTGCAGTAGACGCTCATAGATGCCAATAGCCCCTTGGGTTGTACTCGGATTTTCCTAAAACATTCCAAGGTTTACCAGGAGACTCTTTTGTGCTGATTCCATGGAGTGCTCATGAAGGAGATGTTGCACCACGCAATTGCTGAAGTTCGCTTTGAACCAGCCGAGGTGTTGCACTAACATCCTGGAGACTATGACATTCATTCGCTTCTGCTTACTTCATGGAATTGTTCATTTTGATGGAATATAAGATTCAACAGGAATGTCACCTGCCGATATTGTGTCTGTTCCTGTGATGTCAAGGTGAGTACTGGGTAATCGGTTTACGCTCATGTAGGCCAAAGCAAAGTTGATGTAGGTAGTGCCGGAATCCGCAGTAGGATGTCTGTTGTAACCTTTTTTCCGACATTGTCCCAGCAAAAGTGAACCCTGGGTGGAGTGACTCTTGAAGCAGCTTGTGGTGTTGCAGGAGATTGTTCACATCCATCCGATATCCATGACTTCAGTGTCAGCATCTACATCTTCGTCTCAGTCATCATCCATAACATTAACATCCTCACCGTCACGATCCTCCTCTTCCGGGTCGTCCAGGGATTCAACTTCAGCCTCACTCTCGTGTGAAACAATGTCTTCGCCATCATCGTCAGAAGGGTTCACCTCCTGTTCTATGTTCTTGCTTGCCGACATAGCAAGGGCGAGTTCTCTGTTAACTTCGGCATTGTCGACAGGGAGAGGGTTGGCATCTTCATTGAGCTGTCGTTCGAGATCCTCTTTACATTTCTTTGCTGCAGAATCAAATTCTGCTCGGAGCTGGTCAATAGCCGACAGAGTCCCTTATTACCGAGACACAAACCCGTGTGGCTAAATTGGTCTATGGACTCTCGCTTCAAACCGCCACGCCAGAGCTGGATTGAGTAGACAGTCTGGAGGAAACTGCATGTCTTTGGGGCACGTGAGAATAATAACCCAGCTAATGCAGTTCCAACGAAGGGTTTTAAGTTCACTACCCTTTCAGTTCCTCTTGATAAAGAATCCTCGCCTAAAAGATGTGGGTGGCGATGGCTTTAAGCGAGTTCTCTATCACAGGTGCAAGGACATGCAAACGTTCAAACGTTGTCTCCCATGAAAAATCTTCAATAGAAGGTAAAGTTACGGAACTTGTAAGGGAAAGTCACTCTTCAATAACTGCCTCTCCCACTTCCTTCCTGATGATGAGATTTCACAAACTTATGAAACTGTTGCTTACATCCGGGAGTGGCATTGTAGAGTCCAGAAATAGCCTTACGATATTTCGATTCCGAATGTGAGAGATGACTGACTCCCATTACATATATATAACTTTATTCAGTAGAAAGGCCACAGGCCCATGTACAATATAGATTACAATACAAAAGGTATGATGTGCACAATAACTAGAAAATATTTCTATGTATTCACAATAATAATGAGCTACGTCGCATAAACGCTTCCTTAATATAATTTGCATACATATATAAATAATTGCTATTTTCATTTTGAAGAAGGCGAATGAGAGAGTTTCTATCTTTACAGTTAATATTTAACATGTATCCCGTTCTTAAATCATCATATTGTGGGCAAATAAACATAAAATGAACCTCATCTTCTAAAATGTTCTTACAAAATGGACAAAATCTTAATTCTCTTGGGATATTATTTCTTCTGCCTGTATTTTTCATAATATTTAATTCACCAAATCTTAAAAGTGATAAAAATCTTCTTAAATCTTTGTTATATAATGTTGACAAGTATGATTCCATATTAAACGTACTTTTGACACATACGAATAGAACTCTAAATTAGAATGTTCATTTAACATAGAAAATATACACTGGACGTTACAATCTTTAACTCGTTGAGAGAACTGTTTAAAAAATAAATCCGTGTTAACAATATTTTGAAACTCCCACGCATAGCTGAAACCATAAATATAAATTAATTTCCTCACTTCAGTTACCCATGACTTGCGGTTAATATCGTCCATTCTTTTTAACATAATATAGGTTTGTTTTGGATATCTAGTCTCTTCCATAATTAATAATTTACACCAGTACTTAACACATCTTATTATAGAATCACAACATATATGATGACGACCACATTCAGATAAAACAGCTGCATTTGTTGTAGTAATACCAACACCAAGAACATATTTACAGTATTTTACATGAAATCTTTCTTGAATTAGCCACTCTTGAAAACCCCATATTTCTGAGCAGTATAATAAGATAGGCTTAATTTGTGTATCAAACATTTGAAATAAGACAGTAGGAGAAAGATTTTTCATTTTATGATGAAGCTGTTTAATTGGAAAAGGGCTTTATTAGCTTTCAGAACGAGAGTCTGGACTGCTTTTGACCAAGATAGTCTGCTGGAAAATAAAATACCCAGATAGCTGTAATAGCATGTAGTTTTCAACTTCACATGGTTAAACATCCACATTTCGGTCTTCTTCACTATACCTCCGTTGCGAAAACAATTACCTCTGTTTTGTAAAATTAACCTTTAAGCCCCATTTTGTGCAGAATTTGGATAAAATATTAATCTTTCTTTGTAAACCTATAACTGTGTCAGAAAATATACATAAATCATCAGCATAGAATAATAAAAGAGCTCTAGAAATTCTGCTCCAACAAAATACCTCTTTCGTCAGACGATGTAAGATCCTCTTCAAAGTTGTTTTACAAACATACTAAATAATAATGGACTGAGTATACATCCTTGTCGTACACCACTCAAAGGAATTGAAATATTCTGGAAATGCTAGAATTTGATAGTTTTACAGCTGAAATTGATTTATTGTACATATCACGCACTATTGAAAGCATTTTACCACGAATATTGTTTCGAGAAAGAACATACCATAATAGATCTCTATTTACACAATCAAATGCTTTTTTTGATTCCCATTTAGCACCAAGGGATCTCTTAGTTGGTCCTTTGCTGAACAAGATCTTCCGTGCGCCAGCAGTTGACTCCTGAAATGAAAGGATGATAACTGTACTATAATCCCGTATGTAGGGGTGTAAGAGTGAGTGAGTGAGTTTACTTTGATTTAGCAATATTTCAGCTATATGGTAGCGGTCTGTAAATAATCGAGTCTGGACCAGACAATCCAGTGATTAACAGCATGAGCATCGATCTGAGGAATTGGGAACCGATGACGTGTCAACCAAGTCAGCGAGCCTGACCACCCGATCCCGTTAGTCGCCTCTTACGACAAGCATGTGTTACTGAAGGTTCATTCTAACCCGGACCTTCGCGGGACTAGGGTTGTAAGAAGTATGGATTGTATTCCGTTTTACTAAATTTCCGTTTTAATATATGATGCTTTTAAAGTATTTGCAAGAAGTATGTGATATGTAATACTGCACTGCGCAACCGCGGTCCTGACTACTAAGTGATTTATTGTTCATAATGATGAAAATAAGCATTACTTCATTGAATCTGACTCAATTAATCACAGTACCAAAAAAGGAAGCAACGGTGTTATTAAATAGGATCAAGGTTTATCATACTTGACTCCAGTATAGTTTCCCCTATACATTACAGACTTTCATACCCGATTGTCTTCATAAATTACTACAAGTTTTCCATTTTACAAATTAAGCCTAGTGATTTTACTTGTTTAAAGGTCACATGCAACCAACAAATCAATCATAATTAAAACACAATTATCACTTATTCATGACATATAATAATCATTGCTGGTTATAAAAACATATAAACAAAATTATAAGCGTACAATCGCAAATCAAAAGTGTAATAATTTGTACTTGGGTTTACTTCCCAAGAAACAGAAGCAGCCGGGATACCGAACCCAGTCAGAGCGGGTGGGTGTGCACTCAAGTGTAACGGCTGGTTCATTTGCAGATGCCCTCACGGCTCATTGTGTGTGTGTCTATATAGAGATGTTGGGTTTTGTAAATACATGCTCATTTTTTGTGTTTAACATTTTGCAATCAACAGACATCATAAAATGTCATGTGTTCAAGTATCACACCTGCCTGTCCGTGTAATTACATAATGTGACAGACACCGAAGTCGGGCCATAACTCGATGCATTTTATGGTGTATAGCCTGATTGGTGTTCAGTTCCAATTGCATGTGGTCAGTGATCGAAGCTGTGTATTGAATATTGTCACTAGCAGACAGGCAGACAGACAAACAGGTGTCAATAAAACAAGACATTGAGTTTTGTCTGTGACAACGACAGTTAGAAATTCTGTCAACGCTAAATACTGACATTGCTTTTAAGTATCGAACTGGGAAAGTGACTCGGTAAAGAAGAACGTGTGGTGAAATAGACAAATGAAATTATATAAACAGTTAATTTACTGTCATAACATATAAAAAGCTCGCGCCTGTGAGATATCAACAAAATATTAGAAAAATAGCTCACACCCAAATCCTTCACCGAGTATTCACCGGACAACCCGCTTCAAAGCTGCGCGAACCTATTTCACTCCGCACGTGCTATGAGCGCAGCCCGGCTGTCGAAACCACTTGAATTCCCCTCCAACGCTGGGGGTAAAATTAGTGAATTCTTAGAACTCCGATTTCGCCCGGGTTTTCATCGCGTTATTTTTCAATATTATAAGTGGAATTTGCATTTTTGACGATTTGTTTCCGTAAGTCCATACCGAAAGGTATCAGAATCTACAAAGTTGTTTAACGTTGCATGTGACCTTTAAGCTTTTAAAGATGAAAGCGGCACGGTGGGGGTAGCCTAGTGGTTAAAGCGTTGGCTCGTCGAGCCGAAGGCCTGGTTCGATTCCCACATGGGCACAATGTGTTAAAGCCCATTTCTGGTGTCCCCGCCGTGATATTGCTGGAATATTGCTAAAAAAAGCGGCGTAAATCTAAACTCAGTCAGTCAGTCAGTTAAAGATGAAAGCATGCCCTGTTAGTAAAGTTAGGAGTAAATATGTAATCACCACTGTGTGATTTAGTTAAGTATAACTAAATACCACACAACAAATTAAAGTAGAGAACATCAATACTGCCGAATTCGCAGCACGTGCTTTATAAATATTAAGTGGGGGAGGGAGGAAGGTCCTATTGCGGTTGTCCGGATTGTTGGGGTTCAAGGGTCACTTTAGCTGTTGATTGTGATAGCAGTGAGGGGGAGAAGGGGGAAGGGATGTTTGAATGCATATTGGAACTGACCGTCTGTCAGATGCCAGAAAGCGCAGAT